GAGCAATGAGTAGAGACAAACTGGCTAACCACTTGAACAACATAGGGAAGATCAGGACGAGTAACTATCAGATAGACTAAGCAACCAACGAGCTCTCGATATAGAGTAGGATCATCCAGAAGAACACCATCAGCAGTGTTGAGCTTTACATTAAGCTCAATAGGGGTATTAGAAATCTTAGTGTCAGTAAGACCAGCACGATGAATAACCTCATTGGCATACTTGTCCTGAGAGAGAAAGTAGCCCTTGGTAGAAGAAGCTACCTCAATACCAAGAAAATACTGCAATGTGCCCAGATCCTTCATTTTAAAGGTGCAAAAAAGATGCTGTTTGACCTCAGATATAACAGAAGAGTCAGAACGAGTGATGATTATATTATCCACATACAGTAATAGTGCAACAAATCCAGCAGAGGTGTAGAGAAGAAATAAAGCAAAGTCTTGGGCACAAGGATGAAACCCAAGCTCAGTAACAACAGTCTGAAAGCGATCATTCCAAGAACGAGGAGACTGCTTCAGACCGTACAGAGCACGCTGAAGGTGACAAATCTGTCTAGAGGAATGGTGAAGGCCAGGGGGAGGACGCATGTAAACCTCCTCAGTGAGATGATCATTAAGAAAAACATTCTTAACATCCATCTGATAAAGAGGCCAAGAACGAACAATAGTGACAGAGATCAAAGTACGGACAGTAGTCATCTTGGCAACAGGAGCAAATGTCTCTTCATAATCAATACCATACTCCTGTGAGAAATCTTTGGCAACTAGACGAGCTTTGTAGCACTCAAGAGAACAATCAGAATGAGTCTTGATTTTGTAGACCCATTTACAACCAACCAGATTCTTACCAGCAGGAAAAGGAACTAACTCCCACGTACTAGTTTTCTATAAAGCAGACAATTCATCCTCCATAACTTGAACCCAATGATGATCCTGACAAGCCTCCTTGTAAGACTGAGGTTCTGAAAAAGAGTGAATAGTAGACAAAAAAGTACGATAGGAAGCAGAAAAACATGTATTAGACTAACCCAACTTGTTTGGAGGATGACGTGTTAGAGTAGGGTATCGATGTGCAGCAGGATCAGAGTTATCAGAAGCAAGAGGATCAACAGTAAGGGCAGAGACAACCGGTGGAGGAGGAGCCTTACGACGAGAATAAACTAACAACGGAGAAGGAGAATAAACCGAAGGAGGAGTAGTAACCATAAGTGAAGCAGGAGGAGAAGATAAAACAAGCTCAGGAGGAACTATGGAGGTGTATTACTCATCAGACGGGACCTCAGAAGAAAACGGATCAATATGAACCAAACCCTCTTTGAAAATTGAGGCGGTGAGAGGAGAAAGCTAAAAGTAAGATAGACGTTCGAGAAAAGAAACATAACAGGAGACATAAAGACGACGGGAAACAGGGTCGTAACACCGATAGCCTTTCTGAGTAGAACTATAACCCAAAAGGATACAGAGGACAGACCGGACACTAAGTTTGGTCCTATCTTTGCGGGGAAGAAGGACAAAACAGGTAGACCCAAACACATGAAGAAGGGAGTAGTTAGGGGTTTGGGAGAACAAAGCCTCATAAGGAGATCGACTAGAAAGAAGGGGAGTAGGCATGCGGTTAAGAAGAAAAACAGCCGTAAGAACTACCTTCTCCTAGAATGGAGCCGGAACAGAGGTAAAGAGAAGAAGAGACCTAGCTGTCTGAAGGAGATGACGGTGTTTGTGCTTGGTTCGACCATTTTTGGCAGATGTATTTGTACAGGAAGTTTGGTGAATGGTACCCAAATTGGCCAAATACTCACAAAACTCATTTTAAAAATATTCTCCACCCATGTCAGACTGTAACACTTTAATTGTAGACCCAAAATAAGTAGTAATCATAGACTGAAAGGTACGGTATATCTGATAGAAATTAGACTTATGAGTCATAAGATAAACCCAAGTGTAATAGCACTGCGGTTGTCACAATAGAGGGAAGTCGGAGAAAACTGAGGGACGCCCAAGTCAGAGAGAAAACAATGAAGCTGGACGACTTCAGCAGTAGCATGAGCCATAACACGATACTCAGCTTCGGCAGTAGAGTGAGCAACAACAGTTTGTTTCTTACTTTTCCAAGAGATCAAGGAATCGCCAAGAAACATACAGAAACCAAA